TGTCTCGGCAGCTGAAGATTGCTCCGTAGAAGGCGACCACAAAGTTGAAGGTGGTCCGAGGTCGATTGAAGCCATGCTGAGCAAAAGTCGTAGGAGGTTGACAGCAATCAAAGTGAAAATGGCTGCGGTGAGATAGGCTAGTAATCAACATCCAAAGATCTCAGAAATCGCAAAGACCGAGAAACAGCTGTACAAAGTGGTTACGTGCATGAGAAACGAGCTGAATTCAAAGTACTCAATGGTTCTGCAGTGGATGGACATTGTTTGCTGATGGCGCGCCGAAGAGAGCTGGGTGAGACCGAAACTATACAAAATAGCTACCGATGTCAGCCGCTGCGAGTTCCGGATGACTGTCCTCACTGATGATTTCTGGCACGGCGTCAGCTGTGACTGAGGCAGCCAGTGCAGGCGATGGAGGTGTTGTAGGTGTGTAGGAGAAGTCTCGGGCTGAAGGTGGTGCCGGTGGTGGAAGCGCTGCTGCCGAGGGAAGCATCTGGGCCGGTGAGGCCGGTGGTGTGTTGGCAGGTGAAGTGGGTGTAGGTGACGGTGGTGGGTGGATTGCATTGTGTTGGTGTTGAGGGGCTTGAAGTTCTTCCCAACGTGCTTTGCGCTGCTCAATGGAAAAACCTACTCGACGGGCAAGTAGTTCCAGTTCGGGCGAAGACGAGCATCAGTTTTGAGCTCGACAAGGCGGACATCTGCATCAGCGTCCCAAGCATCCCAATCAGCATCTTCGTTGAGGGGTGGTGGAGGCTGGCGTTTGCGCTTGGGCTGTGGCAGTGGTGGTGAGGAAGAAGAGGCCGAGGATGCTTGTGAAGGAGGAGGTTTCGGTGGTGCATGTTTGATGGGAGCAGCAGGAGCCGAGTCGCAAGAGGAAGTGGGGGAGGGAATGGGGACGGCTGTGAGGGGAGCTGGAGGGAGAGTCGGAAAAGGTCGATGAAATTGAGGGTCGACCTGTTGTGTGTGGACGAGATAGAAACTGTGCAAGTTGGACAGGATGTCTGTTGCTTGCTGGAGTAGACGATGAAGCTGGCTGAGGGCAATAGTGGTTCGATGGAGAAGTCGAACCTGGTCTGCATGAGACTGCATCTGAAAAGGCCGTGTCAAGGTAGCGAAAGCGGCGGACTGGAGCGTCGATTGGCGCAGCTGTAGTATCAACGCTGCATAATCGGCGGGAAAATAACATGCGGCGCGTGCAGGTGAATTACGAAGATGAATTATTGAGCATGAATTTTGCAGGATATACATAAACGTGAATGGAATCTGAAAAACTGCATCGGTGGAAAGAAGAAAAATGCACAAGACTCTCAAGTACGGTCAAAGCCCAAGGCCTTTGGTCTGACAAATCTAGAGAAAAAGCCAAGTGAGCATACATGAGAAATCAATCAGGATGTCAAAAGGAGCCGCTAGAAATTTTGTTTGAATTGAAAAAAGGATACGATAGGCTGACGTTGCAAAGCTCTGAAACATGTCCTGCAAGTAAAGCATCAGAGCGCGGTTTTTTCAAAGCCGGAGTTGGTGGCGAGGTGAAACGTAGGGACAGGCTGCTCTCAGGCATTGGGAGGTAGCGTGGAGGTGGAGGTGGAGATGGAGCTGGCGGTGTGTTGTAGGACCTCAAAGGTCTGGAGGGGTGGCATTTAATGCCAGCCCCTTGACGATGGCATTATTGGGGTGAATCACCCAGCAGCGGGCCTTGGAGTGGCAAACAGCGCCATGATCTTGTTGCAAAAGATGCATGGCCTGGGCTTCACCTCCGCTGGTGAACTTCGTCCCACGGCCCCAAGCAAGGAGATGGACCATGATGGAGTGGACGTTTTTTGCCATCTTCCATGTGTTGTGTAGAATGCGGGCCTGTTCGTAGTTGTCGTGAATGTGTTGGTGGGTGATGCGTGTGGCTTGGGCAAAAAAGCCCGGGTTGGCCTCGAAGTGAAGGGTACTGGGGAGGAGACGACCCTGTTGTAAAATGGCAGCAATGTTGCCATAGGGGCCGGTGTGGCATGCATTGATGTGAACTGTTTCAGGGGCAGTGGAAGTGGCCCGAGTGGCAGGTGGTGGCAGTGGGCGAGTGGCTTTGTCGACGAGGCTCGGGATGTTGATACAGTGATAAGAGAAAGTGTCGTAGGCATTGGTGGTGTCATTCCATTTCACATGGGTGAGTTGGCGGAAGTCTGCCAAATCATCAAACACAAAGCCGGTGTCTGCAAGAAGTTTGGCGATGTAGAGATGTTGTGGTCTGTTCTCTGCGGCAAACTGGGCTGCATGGAAATCTAGCCACCATGCTATCTGTTCTTGCGGCGACAGCTGCTGGAAATGTGGAGGAGGTGGCTTCCAAGGTGGGTGGGGGCGTCGTAGCGCCGGAAAGTTGGGGTAGTCCGCTTGGGACATGTTTGTGATCTGACTGTGAGATGTGGACTGTTGATTGGGCCGGAGAGTAATAGGTGCATGGGAGCATGTGTGGGAATTGCTGGCTGAAGACGTGGTAGATGTGGTGGAGGGAGAGCGGCGACGTCGGCGGCGTGCCGAGGACGCTTTGGCGGTGGAAGTCGCAGGGGAACGTTGGCGTTTGTCACGTGTATGGCAACTGCGGTGGCGGCGACGCCGTTTGCTACGGCTTCGGCCACGATGGCTGCGGCCAGTGGTGGTAGGAGGAGCCGGTGCTGCTGTGAGAGGTTGTGAAGGGGGCTGCTTGGGAGGCGGTGCTGTTGGGGTTGTGGATGCTGCCGGAGATGCTGGTGGTGGTGGCGGTGTTGGCTTGGCGGTGGCTGGTGGCGGAGCAGTGGAAGTGTGTGTAATTGGTGCGGCGGTGGTGGCAGTGGTAGCTGGTGAGGATGTCTCCTGAGTAATAGCGACTGATGGTGGGGCGTTGGAAGCGCCGGGAGGGGCGTTGGGAACGCCAGAGGGGAGTTGTGGATATGTTGGAGTGGCCGAAGCAGTTGTGTTCGGAGCCGGTGGCGAAGGGTGAGCAACTGGTGGAAAAGCCGAGAAAGGTTGCCAAACACCTTGAGATTGGTCCCAGTGGACGGGGACCTGTTGGATTGACGGCTGTGGTTGTGATGCTTGAGGAGCAGGTAAAACGGATGGTGTTGGTGGTGCATGTGGTATAGTGGGTGGATGAGGTTGTGTTGGTAGGGCCTCGAATGCCTGCATCTGTGGAGCTGTTGGGTGGGCCTGTGTGGGAGCCACAAAGGTTGGTACTGGTGGAGAATGTGCTGGCATGGGATGTGGCCACGCATGAGGTGGCGGTTGCTGCGGAGTGGGCTGAAAGTGGGGTAGAAAAGCTTGCTGTGATGGATGGGATAAAATCGTAGGAACAGGTGCCGTTGGTGGAGAGTGGTGCCATGGCGGTGGCTGAGTGGTGACTGCGGGAATGGAGGGTGCGGTACAGGGCGGTGGCCAATGTGGATAAGGCCAAGGGTATACTGCATGTAGAGAGGGCCGTCTGAGTGGCTGCGAGAAAATGGCGCCGGCGCGGCGCAGCAGCTGAAAGGATAAATTTGAGGATGGCAGTGAATTCGGGAACTCAGTATGTGTGCAGTGAAAAATTAATTAAGTTGAAAAATTGGCATGCATTATAGTCTCCGGGATGTGAGCTTGCATACGTTGATCGTCGGTCAAATGGCTGCGGGTGGGAAATTAAATTGAAGTTGGAGAAAAAGCAGCAATGCACAACACGAATGAATGTCGGAGCGTTGAGTGGATAGTTCCTCGCTTATAGCCCGGCGGCTCGAAAATCAGGGAATTCAGGGATAAAATGGAAAACGTGGGGTCAGTTATAAGAATGAAAAAACGATGCTTTCCGGAATGATAGCAGCGCCTCCTTTCGGAGGATCACACCCAGTACCCGAGTGGGAAGACTGAGCGGGTCACACTTCGAACTTGGGTTTTCAGTTAGACTCAATTGCCACGTTGAGAAGTAAGGCGAGGGAACGGAAAGGTGCATGGGTCAGCCAAAAAGTATTGTTGAACAATGTTTTCGAAAGCGCTCAAGTGGAAGCGGCGTTCAGCAGCTGCAGTGCGGTGGGAAAACTGTTTAAGGGGAAGGATCACATGAAACACCATGAATCAAACCAAAAGAGTGGACAGCGTGTGCAAAAGTTCATTGAGCAGGTACACAATGCGGCGTCCCGCATTGCTTCACCACGAGCTGACAGCGTCTTCGTTGGGCAATGTCTGTCAGTCGTGCATTGCCCCCCTGCCTGTGATGAGGTCATATGAGTGGAAAAATTAAATTGGAAACGGTGACGCTGGTAGTGGAGGGGTGAACAATTGAAAGCCCTTAGAACCAGGGTGTGACACACACACACACACTTAGCAAATGCGTACTGAAAGGAAAGCCGCTCGCCACACAGCAGCCTAGGTATCCATTATCCTAAGGCCAGGTAAACAAAGACCGGACAATTTCAAACATTGTCCAACCAAAGCGAAGGCGACCGAGCGACAAGGACGACCGAAACGTGCAAAGTCTGCCGACCTACCTCCACCCAAGCAGCCTGAAGGTTAGATTGGGGTGTAACTATACTTTCCCTCGCCACAACTAAGCAGGTACAATGCTTCCCACTCTCGCCCACAGCTTCGTTGCGTGTGGTAGGACGAGAGTGCCACGCCCCTGCTATTGAATTGGGCAAAGAGAAAGGAAACAGGGTTTCACACACACACACACACACACTGGTCGACTTTCACATCTCCATCTCTCCTTTTCATTGACCTTCCGGGTCGCTCAGCTATGTATATATATACTGTAGTATTTCGAGTATTTCTTAAATACTTGCTCATTGTCACTGCTCACTTTGTCACTTGCTCACTCATTCCTCCCGCGGTTTCCATGTTTGTGTGGCTCTCACATTCTGGCAGACTTCGCGGGCAACTTGATGCTTCCAGCCTTGCAACGGCACTTGGTATGATGGCAAGCTGGGGGGAAGCTGGGCCCAAGGGTTTCAGAACTGCCAAAGCTGCTAGATTCTAGATGCCGATATGCGTGTGATTGCATGTGCATGGGGCAGGAATTGATGAACAAGATGGGCGGAGAGTTCATGTCCTTGGGGTTCATCGCCTTCATGATCTTCTGTCGGAGTCTCATTTACGGCAGTATATTTGAAGGTTTGCGATCTCAGCGTGCTTGGTTCGATCGATAGGTGGCTTTGGGTGGGGCAAGTGCTAGACTTCGCCCCCACTCACTGACTCGAGGTTCTAATCAGCTTGGGTTCTTTGACTTTATTGCTGAACGCTTGCCGGCCTGTGGCACTTTGGCTGGGTGAGTATCCGCTCAAGGCTTTGGACACACTCCTTGCAGCTGCAAGAGTTCTGCGGACTATACTTAAGTTGACCACTGAATGTACAAATCATGTCACATTGCTGTTTGCTTGGGTTTCAATGCTATCAGTTTCTCCTGAGGCAAGAGCGCCACTCCAGATTGTGTAATGCTGCCATACACTGGCATCGTTACTGTGACTGCAGCAAAATGAATGCATGGATGATTCATAGAACTTTGGTTCAGGCGTTTGCTCCATGTTTACTCAGGTTTTCCCTAACCTCAGGTGGAATTCATGGTTTGTGTGCTGGAACACTTAGGATTGGCTTCACCTTATCGCTTCTTGGCACTTGCTCTTGATGCAGGCATAGAGGTGACAATGGTTTCGGAAGCTGCATGTAACCTATTTTTTGGTTTCTTAGATTTCCACCAGGCAAAAAAAACACAGATATTTGAGAAAGGAAGATACGGTTCCTTTTAAGGGGCCTTACCTTCCTTTGTTCATTTTTTCTAGATTTGTTGTCCTTTTTTCCGGTTGAGGATGGTAGAGATTCTCAGATCAGCCAGTGCAATGTCCATGGTTCTTTATGTAGCTACTGCACTCTGTGTGCCTTTCTCAGTCAACCAAGGAGCTTGTTCACGTCCAGCTTTTCGTGGGAGGCTTGCTGGCAAAGAGAGAGAGAGAGAGAGCAGCGAATTGTCCTGGCGCTAGTGACGTGCCATTTTGCGTCGTTCCCAGTTCTTGCTGTATGGCCCTTTGCACGACTTTGAGATCTGAGTTTTGATACTAGCGACCATTCATTGATCCGAACTCGTTCTTACAAGAGACTCACAAGGAATGATGCTCTACTTCTTGCTCATGTTTGGAGTAGTTCGTGGAAGCGAATCCTGACTGCAAGTCTTTTTGGCCTCCCCTGCATTCTGCTCAAAGGTTCCAAAGTCTGGTCATCGCGTTTATAAGCGAGGCCGGCAGACAGAAAGACCTTGCATGGAATAGAGCTGAGGTCCGGCAGATACAACTGTGAGAGTCGCTACGTTTGCGCCGCATTACAAACGTACGTATGTGACTTGGCAGCATACAATGGTTGGAGGGCAAATATATAAACTACAAACCCTCCCTCCATGTTGACTTCACACATGATCAGAGTTGCTTCGCACAACTGACTTGAAGGCTTCTGTCGCCGCTGCTAAAGAGTACCAGCACTATTGTTGTCCATGCTGTGCAGAATCAGCTCAGGGATCGTACATTCTCACAAACTTTGCGGAGTTCTAACAAGGACAAGGACCTGCAAGAGTATGTGGCCAGGAAGCATCCCCGCTTGAGATTGTTTGAAGCAGCATTCCCTAAAGTTCCAGAACAAGTAGTGATCGCAGCAAAATGCTTCGGAGTTTCTGGGTTGTTAGGCTGTGGGCCCACTGTGTGCACGCGGTGAGGTTTGTTTGAGGGAGTACTTGGTGGTTCACGTCCTTGAGTGGAAACACCAACGCCACGGCCTTACCACTGATTCTGCCCTCAGTTCCGCTATGGTGCATCGTGTTCTTTACTCTGCATACGTAATATAACAACATCCATAACTATCATCTATACAGTTCATATCCATACTATGCATAAACAGTTGTAAAAATATCGTCTAGTGACACATGCCGTTGGAAAGTAGCACCTTAATTGAATCTCAATCATTCGTCAAGACTTTTGGGAGTACTTGTGTATATTCTTCCAGCTGCAAATGGACATGATAGAATCAAATCATAGAGTATCTCTAACCCTTGAATTGAATTGGGATGGACTGGCAGTTCGAGGAAAAAAGGCGGCAATTGAATCATGAGAGGAGCAAAGAGGAGAGGCAGAAGGAAGGAAGAAGAGGAAAAAGGAAAGGAAAGGAAGAGGAAAGTGAAGGGAGAAGAAGGGGGTTCGGAAGAGGAAAGGACATGAACATTCAAAGTTTAAATTAAAGACAAGACGAGTCAGCCAAAAGAAAAAAAGGCAGAAAGAGACAGCAAATAACATATGTTTTCTATTTCTAGCATATTTCATGAATTCCATGCCCGATCTTTGGAGCTGTAGCAGTGGTTTGAACAAGTGTATGTGTATATATATATATATGGTCCCCTTGTCCATTCGATTTGCCTGCTTGTTTTGCGTGCAGCTTTAACTTTTTTGTTCTGCTTGGTTTCACGGTGAGGTTCTCCTCAGGCCCAATGAATGAGTTTCTCATTGATCAACGCATGCTTGTAAATTTGTTTCTCCAATCAGCTTGGTACAGCCGCTCTGTGATTCAAGGACCCAAGCTATTCAAGCAGGTGGTCGAAGCTCTTGGGATGGTCAACCTTCCTGAGCCGCAGGAGGACAGCGTGTTTGAACAACAGCAGCTGGCCCCCTCACCATGCCAGGTTTTTGTGACATATCCGGAACCAGAGCAACTGCTGAATATTGTTGTCAGTACTGACGCAGAAAAAGAATATGGCCTGACATTTTCCCCACATCGCTATGTGGGGTTCTTGTTTTTCGCTCTGCGCCCGCCGCTCCGCGTCCGCCTCCGCCGCCCGCCCGCCCGCCGCTCATCGTACACGACCTATTTTACACCACCCAGCTCACACTACTCATCTTACACCACCGATCTCACACCACCTCTCTGACACCACTCATCTTACACCACCTCTCTGACACCACCATCTTACATCACCCATCTTACACCGCCCATATCACACTACTCATCTCACACCACCATCTTACACCACTCATCACGAAAGCTAGCTAGCTGTAGCTAGCTGGAGTCTGTCTTGCTTTAGCAAGGAGGGTGGGAACCCAGGACCTGAGTGCTAACACCTGATATATCAGGAGTCTACCCCCCCCCTGCTGCTGCTGCTGCTGCCTGGTACCTGCTGCCTGCTGCTCCTTGCTGCTGATGCTGTCTGGTACCTGCTCCTTGCTGCTGCTGCTGCCTGGTACCTGCTGCTTGCTGCTGCTGCTGCGGCTGCTGGCTGCTTGCTGCTGCTGCTTGCTGCTGCTTGGTAGCTGCTGCTGCTTGGTGGCAGCTGCTGCTTCTGCTGCTTGGTAGCTGCTGCTGCTTGGTTGCTGCTGCTGCTGCTGCTTGGTAGCTGCTGCTGCTTGGTAGCTGCTGCTGCTTGGTAGCTGCTGCTGCTTGGTAGCTGCTGCTGCTGCTTGGTAGCTGCTGCTGCTTGGTAGCTG